AAAAAAAAAAAAAACTGAAATGGTTAAAACTTAATTTTTTTAATCCCTCTATGGGCCATACAAAATGGGTCAGGTTGTAGTTTAGGCCCAATGGGCCTTTGAAGTGGAAGCTTAATTAAAAGCGCGCTCTAATTATGGAGCCATGCTCACCCAAATGGCGCTGTAGAGCCAGAGATTCTGAGCAATGAGCGTCATGGCGTGTCAATGCAGGGACCATGGGGTTGTCAAATGTCAAGAAAAGGCGCTGCCATGATATGCATGTGTGAGGGAGGGTGTTTTGAAGCTTCATGAAGGAGTTTTGAGAGAGAAGCAGACCTGGTTGGTTGCACATGGCACCATTTTCATCTCGAGTGTACTTGGCTTAGCCATGGCTGGGTAGCCATAGGGTATGCGTATAATTAACATGAACCTTTGTTTGTCAAAGTACGTGCCACTCCGAAGTTGGCGTAGAGTTCTCGGGTGGTTGATGGAGTTTGAAGGGTGTTCGTTATAGGGGCCTGCCATTGTACCGCGGGCTTTCGGTCATGCAGCCGTCAGCCTTCTGGTGTACTAGACGAGAGCCACAGACATTAACACAATAATTTGTTTTCTAGGTTACATCAACTTCCAAAATTTTGGTTTCTTTTAAAACAAGTTTTTTTAGGCTTTTGCTCTTTCAATTACATTTTCTTAATCTTAATCCCTAATTTTACATAACCAAAATCTATAGACTTGATTTAATGACGGTATTAGTGAATAACGTGAATGTTCCTTATGTAGCTACTTACTTAGTGGTTCAGATGATCTGAGTTCTTGCTTTCCTATTCTATCTAAACTTTTTTAAATTGATGGGCTGGAATGTATCACTCTGATTAGACGTTAAAAGAGAATTAAAGCATCCTACTTCACTATAAATGCCGCTACGAATTCCTTCCAACAAGCTAAAGGTCATACTAAGTTCCTTCTCTTTTCCCACTTAAGACGGGTACTTCTGCCTTTGCCCTAATAGCTTCCTCTCTTGCGTCCGTTGATGAATCAAATTCTTGAAAATTCGGGTATAATTAAAACCAATTTCATCATTCTAAGAGTATTTTTTATTATTAACTTCAATTATGATATTTATACGGAATATTTTATTTTAATCCATAATTTAAAGAAAAAACAAAATTTTAATTTGAAGCTCGAAGAACCGAATGGAATCCAAGACATAGGTTCAAGACAAGAAGAAGGATCCTTCTTGTTTCACCTCACTGTTGCCAATAAAATAGTTTCACTTCAGTGTTTTTTTTTTTGTCTTTTTTTTCTTTCTCTGTCCCTTTTAAGTCTTGTTATTTTGTTACAACAAGAATTTAAATATTTTATTTAATTTTATAGGAAAAAGAAACAGAAATATGAAGTTAGAATGTCATTATCCAAAAATAACAATAATTTAGCTTAAATGTGAAACAACATTGTAATCATTACACACGAAATTAATGTAATCAACATAGTTTTTCCTTTTTCTAATAATAATAATAATAATATTTAATTAATTAAAAAAGGCCCCAGGTGAATGGGCAATGGATTTTCTTGGTACAGTGGGATTTAATAAGACAATGTGGAGGTGGGGACTGTGGTTGGATTCCTTTTGTTGTTGATATGATTGGGTGCCTGCCTGTCTCTTCCCCTTTTTTAAAAAATAAAATAATAATGAAATTAATTATTAATTCTTTTTTACGTTTTCAATGCCAAATATTTGACTCCTCATTTCGGGATAATGTTTTATTTCCATTATTATGTCATGAATTTATATTTATGTCCCCCATCTCTCTTCAATCTCCAATTCATTACGTACACAAATTATATGAAAAGAAGGGTTCTTTTACGTCACCAAATCAAAAGAAAAAAAGATATTAAAAAATAAAAATAAAAATTGGTTCAAATGTGTGGTTGTCTTTGGAGTTATTTCTTCTCCAATTTTCAACGTTATTAATCATTTGTATATCATATACAAATCAAGTCAAAAATAGCGATAATTTGGTCGATACTACTTTTGAAAATAGTGATACGTCTTTTGATATTAAAAATCTTACCTTATTGACTGTGCTACTCGAGACGTCAATTCAAATAAATAATTAATCACATGATGCTGGATTTTGAATCTTAAGATGTTTGATCTTATTCATGTATAGGAAAATCACTAAAATTCTTCTTTGTTCCACTTCCTCTCACTAATATGATTTTTTTTCTTTTCTTAGCCAATCGGAAAATGTAGTAATAATTCCAACTTATACTTCATTCTTTGTTAAGAACTATGACCCTCTAGAATGTTATGATATTGTCCAGTTTGAGCACAAACTCTGTGATTTTACTTTTGGCTTTTCTAAAATGTCTCAAACTCATGATCATCTCTTTCAAATCCTTGAAATAGTGGGAGAATAGTAATGTTTGTAAATAGTTGATATGAAAAAGAAAAAGGAAAGGAAAGAGGGAGGAGGGGGCAGGGCACATGCAAAAGCTTATTGGTTTGGAGAGGGAAGACATGATAGATGTATGGGTGGTGGTGCAAGGACGATTCTTTCCATTTCCCAGCTTTTGTCACCTTTGGACATATCCTCTAAATCTTCCTATACCCATTATTTTTATTTTTATTTTTTTATTTTGAAAAAAGTGAGGTTGGTTTGAATAATGAAAAAAGAAATTAGGAAATTAGACAAGGGAATTGGGTGTTGTTGACATTATGGAAACGACAGAGGAGGCAAATTGAAAGGGGGAAGGGAATGTTGGAAAATAACAATAATAATATTGGATGAAAGTCCGCTAGTTTACGAAAAGATTGTGGTTTATAACAAAGGAATACTATCTCTATTGGTACGAGATCTTTTAAAGAAACCCAAAGAAAACTACGAGAACTTGAATTCAAAGTTGAGATAGACGAGAGTTTCAATTAATTGAAAAGGGGTCCATATAGAATGTGGGATTCCATCACATCCCATGCCATGCATTCTTGTCATGTCATTTCATATACCACACTCACCAACTTTACTATTATTAACCTTTCATTTCTCCTTCATTTATCACTTTATTATCCACAAATCTTCTGTTTTTTCTTTAGTTATTACCTATAATCCCAAATTATAACGCAACAAAAGGATATTCAACTTTTTCTAATTGAAAAATTATTTGTAAATTGAGGTTTGATAGAGATATAGAATCAGTGTCCGTTCTTGTCTCACCTATTGAAACATTTTAAAGTATTATCATAAAAGTCAAAATATACATAGTTTACCCTAAAATCAAATGGAAATTTTCACTATTACTCAACCACACATTTTAGTTGTGTGTTCAGTAAGTGACATATATTGGTTAGTAATTAGGAGGGAAATTGAAAGGGAAGAGGGGAAAGGGATGGAATGATAAGAGAGTTGAAAGAAAAAAGAAAATAGAAGAGGGGAAGAATTTTCAGAAAGATTCGGTAAATGGAATTGGAAAATGAAAGAGAGTGAGAGGAGAGAAGGTGATTGAAGGAAGGGCGCCCGAGGATCGAGGGAGCGACCTGGGCCCACCCAGACTGCCCCTAACTGACCACCAGGACTGCCCGACACCGATCGCTGACTCACAAATTCAGAGTATCCAAACCTCTCGTCGTTTTCTATTTCCACTGCCCGTAATGACGGGCAGGGAGGGGGTACCCTCTGATTTTAACTCTCCCTCTCCGGACGGCACGCGCGCTCAGCTACCTCACTCAACTTCCTTCCCTCCACTATTTACCATTTACATTTAAAAAATAAAAAATAAAAAAATCTTCTCATTGCCCTAATTTTTACTTTTCAATCCACACAATTTATTTTTTAATTAATTAAGACATAATGGATAAATAAAAAAACATTAAAATAATTGTCGTGTAACTTAAGGGATAAGATTTGAACTTTGATATCATTATCGATCAACAACATGGAACCAAAAAATTGACCGTAACACTTTTTTTTAAGATTATTTTAAATTAAAAGATTAACCTCTAATTAAAACTATAAATAAGTGATTAATGTTGGGAAACAAAGATTTTCATGAAATTTTTTAAAAAAATGGTAAGATAAGAGTAAAAAGACTGCTGATGTGTCGCATTCTATGTGTGTCCTAAGTATGAGTAGTCAATGTCAGCTACAACACAACAGCCACCATCATCTTTTATTTTTTTATAACTGTACTCTAATTCCTTTCTTTATTATAGTTACTGAATTTCTTTAATATTTTTCAATATTTATGTACAGTCTCGTAGCTTTAAACGCTTTTATTAGTAAGAGTTTTTCATACTCTTGTACGGACTGCTTCGTTTATCTCTTCAATCAATGTGAGGATCTCACAATCTACTTCTTTAGGGTCTAGCGTCTTCTATGGGACACTAAAACACCGTCAAATGTCTAGCTCTGATACTATTTATAACAACCTAAGTCTATTTGATTCGTTACATATCACCGCTCAACTTTAATAAAAATATTGAATCTTTTCCAAACCCATTTTCTTAAATTTCTTTAATTACGGAGCAAACTCGTAAACAAATATTTAAATTCTTTAATAATAACATAAAAAGCATAAAACTGAAATCCCACTACAAAGACAATGATGCTGCCAAAAGAAAAATCTAGCACTAACCAGTGAAATAAATATGTTTTTTTTTTAAAAAATAAATTCTTTAATTAGTTGAACACACGTGTAAATGAATTTGATGAGAAGAGGATTAAAGTGAATGAAATTGCAGCTGAGACGATGAGTACCCATAGCATGCAGCTGGTGGTTGCTTTTAGGTGTAAGGAGGGCGAACTGGATGCCCTCTCCAGAGGGTATGATGCCTTTAATCTGTGGGGTCGTACCTCCACCTTTACCCATACTTCCAATATCCTCACATACTTTTATACCATAACCTTTCACATTATTCAAGTTTCTTTAAACTCACTCCAATCCATTGATTCAATGCAAATTAAGGGTATGACCCAGGTGAGCATCAACCACTAGAACCCTAAAAACTGATCCTGTCTTTCCTTTTGTTTCTATATAATATCCTATATATTTAACTCTTTATCCTCTTTCCACTCCCAAAATTCCTCCATTTCTTCTCTCTCTCACACTCAAAAACATTGATCCAACAAAACCCACTTTCTTTATCTTTTTTCCACTAACTAAAAAGACCCATTTCCATTTCCTCTTGCCTTTTCTTTTCTTTTGATTTTGGATTGTTCTGAAATCCAAAAGAAAAAAAACCCAAAAAAAAAAAGAAGATACAATGATCCAAGAACTATTTGGTGTTTCAGGGCTTTTAGCTGCAGCTGGAGACACCAAAATCTCCACCACTAATGCTTCTTCTATTCTTGATTCTTCTTCTTCTTCCCCTTCTACTTCCCTCTCTGCCGTCGCCGCCACTGCGACCACTGCCGCCGGCGCTGCCACCACGTCAGCAACCTCCTCAAATTCTGAAGCTCAAAACTTGCGGTGCCCCAGATGCGATTCTGCAAACACCAAATTTTGTTACTACAACAACTACAATCTTACTCAACCTCGCCACTTCTGTAAGACATGTCGTCGTTATTGGACCAAAGGTGGGGCCCTCAGGAATGTTCCCATTGGTGGTGGGTGTCGGAAGAACAAGAGCGCGGCTGTGGTCGGGAAATCAGCGGCTGGAAAGATGAAAACTTTGTCGTCTGAGATATTGGGCCGGGTCGGATTCGGAACTGGGTCGGCGTTGGATCATGAAATAATGTCGCCCACGCAAATTCTGTGGGGTTCGCCGCAGAATTCTCACCTTTTGTCTATTTTGAGATCCGCCACCCAAAACCAAAACCCTAACCCTAATAACCTCGTCGGTTCCCACGTCAGCAACGACCCACCGGGGACGGCAGCTGCCACTGCCACGGCGACGCCGTTTCATGCTAGGACGATGGGTTTCGATCCGGCCACTCATATTTCTTCTCTGGGGCTCTGCAGCTCTTACTGGAGGAAAAATCAGAGCCAAGTTCATCCCCAACAAAATGGGATTCCCCACGGCGGTGGAGATCAGGTCCAGGGCGGCGCCGGAGGGATCCAGGAGCTGTATCAAAAGCTTAAGTCTTCATCGAGCAATTATTTCAGCAACGGGCAGCAGGGATCGGTGGGAGTAACGAATGGGGGTACGGCAGCGATGTTGGAGGCAGCTCCGGTGGGCGGCGGCGAAACAACAGGTTACTGGAATCCAGCCTTTTCTTGGTCAGATGTTCATGCTAGTGCTAATGAAGCATATCCTTGAACTAAAAAAAGGAACAAAAAAAAAAGGAGTGTGTTTTATTTTCCCCTAATTTGGCTATTTGTGTTTTCCATATTAGGATTTATTTTTGTGTGTGTTTTTGTGCTTGGGTTTGTGGTGTATCAAATGAATGCCTTATTTAGCATCAATGTTTAAATTAAATTAACTCCATCCAGTTAAGATTAATCAAACCATCTTTTTATGCATTTGATATTATATTCAAGAATTTTTTTTTAAAAAAAAAAATAAATTTGAAACCCAATAAAGTTTCCATTCAACGTTCAAATTCTTCTTACTTTTTACTTGTACTACTTTTATGGAGAAAAAAAAAACAGAAAAAAGCTCACATATTTTCCCCATGAACATGAACACATGGACCTCTAGTTCAACATAATTAGAGTATATTAAATTTAATAAAAATACACGTATAGGTAGAAAAAATACCCGTATAAAAAGTCGTGTAAAAGAAAAGATTTGTGACAATATTAGAACTTCAGGCACATGTAAAGGCTTGGACCCATAAGATACCCAACAAATTAGGCATCTAAACTCTTGGGACCTAAGCTCTGTGAAGTATTGTATTGTCCACTTTTAATGTAAGTTCTTGTAATTTTGTTTTTTTTTGTTTCTTTAAAAGGCTTGATATAAGTGGAGAAGTATTCTTGAGTTACTTATAAACTCATGATCATCCTCTTAATTTACTAATGTGAGACTGTCATCTAACAATCTTCCTAGCCTCGGTGATTATAAGTTCCACCTCCAAGAGATGAACACAAAAAATCAGTCTCCCGATCGATATGAACATTATTTCAACATACCTTAAAGTTCTGACTTGCTCAACAACCATAAAGAGGTAAGCTGGAATTTGCGGTCCGTTTGAGTAGAATTGTATTGATGCAATTAGTTCAATGGAACTCGATCTAAGGCGTCTAGAATTGACCCTAAATTAAATTTTCTAACAAATCAGAACTTGGAGCTGAAGTTACAAGATTGAGCAGATAATACCGGACATAATGACGTGAGACTGCATACGTAGGTTTGGAAGACTAATACTTGTTGAAGTTTTCCTTGGTTTTAAAATAAAATAAAATAAAATAAAACTAATCATTATTATTATTATTTTAAAAAAAAGAAGAATCTAGAACGCATGATTCCGTCATTACTACCTGGTCATGATTTTAGATTTTTTTTAAATAAATAAATAATAATAATAATAACAACAACCACCAATAAGTTTAGTTTTTTTTTTTTTTTTTAATAATAATTATTTTTCTTTTTTCTTTTTATTCTAAAAATAACGAAAAAGTCTTCCAAACCTTAATTTCTTAAAATGTTATTTTCAAAACATTAATTAATTTAAGAGTTTAAGACTTTAAATACAAATAATTTGAAATTCATAAATACACATTAATATATATACTTAAAATTCACAATTAGAATATTCACAATAATATATCTCCTAAATACAATAGAAATATCTCTCAATATTCCACGCGCTTAAGAATTGTATTTTTTTTCTTAATATTTTCGAATGTTAATATTTTATAGATATTTATACGTAGAGAGAGGTGTGGTGAATGTGAAAACACAATAGGAAGTAGTGAATGTCAACCACGCGCTTAACGCTTATCAAACTCCGAGTATTTTTTGAATTTCCTGACAAAATAATATTAAAAAAAAATAATAATAATAATAATGTTTGGACATAGCTGGGAAACTCCACGAGTTGGCAGATGCGTCCTATTAATTCAGTTTGGTTGGAGGAATTATTTTGAGGTATTGGTTGAATTTGGAGAAGGCAATAATGGCGGAGGGTCTGGTGAGCGGGGCTGTTCTGGGTGCGTTGTTCGGAGAGGTGCTGAAAGGCATATTGGATTTGGCGGAAAAGAGCATTCATTTCAAACCTGTGGTGGAGGAGATGAGAGGGCAGTTAGAGTTTCTGAGATTAGTGATCCAACAGCTTGATGATGAGCATAGCGGGTTCCTTGATTCCGCGGAAAACACAAGGAGCTTGCGGGGAGTGATAGAGAAAGGGAAGAAACTGATAGGCAAGTGCGAGGGTGTGGATCAAAGTATTCTGAATTATCACAAGGCCCCATTTTACACCAAAAAGCTTCGCCAATTGGATGCTGAATTTGGAAGGGCGTCACAAAATTTGTTGTTGCAATTGAACTTACAGCAGTTGAGGAGGATATCTATGAATGGTAATGGGAGTGACAGTTCTAAATTGTTATTACAGAAGACCATGGAAAAGGTTATGAGCTTTGGTTGCTGTTGTAGCGTCTTCGGTGACCTCCCAAATCAAATCAAATTGCCCTTTCTGTTTTACCACAACAAGCGACTCAAAGGTACACAATTCTACAACACTGAAACGGAATGAACAAGAATGAACTTTGTTGTGCTTACTTGTTATTTTGTTGAGCCAGGAAAAGCGGGTCCAAATCTCGGTGATGCTATGCTGGGTTGGGTGGTCGAGCACATCAAAGACAACATAAACCAAGGTGGGTATGAGATGAAAACTTGGTACCCATGTTTTGATTTGATTGAGTGGGTCAGCAAATTAACGAAATGGGCAATTGTGGTTACATTGGTAGAAGCAGGGAAGAGCAGTGGAGAGGACGATAAAGGGTTGCATAGAAGAGTTGAAGAGGCGATAGAGAGGTTGGGAGATGGTCGGTTTGAGAAGATATTCCATCGGACGTTTGAAACGGTGGCCAATGAGAAGCTTCAAAACTGGTTCCGTTGTGATTTGGAGACGGAAGTTGGTCCTCTCAGAGGGGTTTTGTTTGTATCAACAGTAAAGCTTGCATTCTGCACTAACATCCATACTCCACACCCCAACCTCTATCTAAAGGTACTTCTTCTACTAAATTAAACCCAAAACTGTGCGGAGCTGTTATTACTTAACTATGGTGTTCCACAGGTAATTATACCATTTCAGCTCCTCAAAGGCGTTGGGAGGAACCCCTGCGATCAACAATACATACACTTCATCTCTGTTGATAACCAAAAATTTCAGTTCATCAACTTCCGAAACTACGAGGACGCCAACAAATGCGCGCAACAAATTCCAATAACACTGCCCACATGCACTCGCTGTAGGCTTCAATAAAGGAAAGCTTCAACTTGGACATCCCATCATGTCAGATTTCGTTAGTGTCCGTTGGTGGTTATGAAATTCGTGTGTTCTTTCTGGTGTCCATACCCTTGTAAGGAATAATCTATTTCCCTCTCCAATCGATCTGAGATTTCACAATCTAGCCCCTTGCCCGGTCGTGCTCGTTCAGAGCGTGTTGCCTGTGGCCACATACCCATGTCACTTCGAACCCTTTATGTTATTCTATGTTGTATTGTTTTATTATTGTATTTTCAATATGTATAACTATTTGGCGAAATCTTAATTGCTTCAAAATGTACTATTTGGAGGATGTGACTAGTTGTCTAATTCAACCTACCTGAAAAAGTTATATACTGTTTAAGCCGTTGTCGTTGTCTTTGCTTGCATGACATATAACACCGTTTTCAATCTCTCACTCAACCTTGCTTTCAAACTCTCTTTCAAAATCTCTCTTCTCAAATTAGAGCTAGAGGCTTGAGCATATGTGACTTGGCCGTAAGTCACACGAATACAAATTGGCTTAACTCACTTATTGTTGAGAAGTGAGTGTTGTGACACCCAAACAACTCCACCCATCATATCCTCTACCACACCTCTCTTGCTTTGGGCATGGAGAAATGTATTCTTTATGTATAAACTCAATGTGTGACTCCTTCTTAATCATCCTTTCCAATGTGTAATTTTGCTTTGGGATTATCCAAAAGACCTCATATCATAAATATATGATAATTCCTTAAATTAGTCCGCGTGGGACTCCCTCCTACTCATCCTCGACATGGTCAATGTAGAAAAACAAGTCATTGTCGTACTCGGGCGTCAATTTGATCTTATCTCTTATCCTCGTGAGTTAAGTTGCAGCAATTAAGTCATGAATCCACCACTACCACACACACACCATAGTTGAAAATTCAGCATCGTGTCTTGCTTTTCCAATTCTTAGAACGAGTCATGCTTCCCTGCTATTGGTTGCATTAAATGCAGTTGACTGGATCTGATTTATTGATTTATTTTAATTAATTAATTAATATATTGAAAATAAGATTTTAAATTAAAAAAAAAATGAAAAAAATGAAATTGAGGAAGTAACGAGCGACAACCACTCGTTTAACGCTCAATCCCTCCCATCAAACTCCGAGTACTTTTCAATTTCCAAACAAAATAATTCTTTTTATATTGAAAAAAAAAAAAAAAAAAAAAGTTTGGACATAGCCAGGAAACTCCAGGAGTTGGTAGACGCGTCCTGTTGGGTTATATTTTGGAGTTGGAGGGATCATATGTTTCCAGTTTGGGTTCAATTTGGAGAAGGGAATTATTGGGTTTTGAAATGGTGGACGGTCTGATAAGCGGGGCTATTGCGGGTGTTGTCGCCGAAGTGATGCTGAAAAAGTTGTTGAGTTCGACGGAAAGGGCGATTCGTTTCAAACGTGTGCGGGAAGATATGAGATACCGGTTACAGAATCTAAGCTCTGAGATCAAACAGGTGAAGCATGGTGGGTTCCTCGATTTCCCACAATACATGACGAACGTGCAGCAACTGATAGATAAAGGGAAGAAACTGATTGCCAAGTGCGACGCTGTGGATCGAAGTATTCTCAGGTATCCCAAGGTCCCATATTACACCAAAAAGCTTCGCAAATTGGGTGATGAATTGGAAAGGACCAAAACCGATTTGACGTTCAAATTGATGTTACAAAACTCAACACGTTGAAATCAGAGAGAAAAACATGGTAAAAGATGTGAGCTTTGGTTTCTCTTGTATTGCTATTTCCATTCATTACTTTTTTTTTCATATTCTGTTAATTTATTTGATTATAAATACACAACTTTCACACCAAAATTCGGGTTTTAACAAATATTCTCCTAATATTTTACCCTTTCCATTTAGCAACCCTCTTCCTTTATTTTCAATGACTCTTTGAATCCTCTCCGATTATTCTCCACCACCCCTACTGACTTTGATGCCACAGGAGCAATCACCATGATTGTAGCACGAATGATTACTCTTCAGCCCATACTTTTGACCTCTAAATCACCTTTCACTATACCCTGTACATACAACATCACCTTCTCCAACACAATTCGTTTTCCCTCCACCAATATAATCTTTTTCATTTTCTTCCCAATCTTCTCTTCATTCTTCACAGAAATCCTAGAAACCTTAAAAGGTGGTTAAAATTTTAGAGAATTATGGTAAATTACAAATAATACGAAAATAAAGTTTGCTTCAATATTTGAGAAAGTTATGAGCTTTGGTCGTAGTTGTAGTGTCTATGGTGACCTTCACACTCAAATCAAATTGCCCTTCCTTTTTTACCACCACAACTGACTCAAAGCTACACATTCTTCTTAAATGAATGAACTTTGTTGTGCTTACACGTTATTTTTTTTGGTTCCATCTTTTTGCTAATAACTCGTTATTTATCGTCATCAGTCTCACTATTTTAACTTGTCTATTAAATAGAGATTTTTACCTAATATAAAGAGGGTTTCGTTTCCCTCTCCAACCAATGTGAGATCTCACGATACACACGTTGCACAATGTTTAACTTTAATACTATTTATAACCGTCCAAGTAAGCCAACCACTAGCAATATTGTTCGCTTAGCCTATTACATATCGTCTGTTGGGGAGAGGAGAAATGTTTCGTTTATCACTCCAACCAACACAGAATCGAGAGTAAGAAAGAGAGAGAAAAAAAAAAGTGGAGTTTCAAGTTCTAGATTGAAGCGTAATAGAGAGTAAGAAAGAAAAGAGGCGATGAGTGTTAGATAATCATTGTATTAATGAAAATTTCTAAAGTTATAATCATATGTTTGAAATAAAGTATTAAACTCTTTTATCCAAAACTAATTCATTAAGGTAATTTTGATTTTCTTTTTTTAATTTAAGACAATATTAAAAAAAAAAATAAAGTGGAGAGGTATTCTCAATTAAGACTATAATTTAGCCTAATTATCAAGTTTATATCTTAATTTGAGAGAAGTTAAAAAGTTATGAGATAAACGGTCACTGTTCTTTGTTCCTTGAAGATGAAGCTGAAAGCATTTACACCCAAAAAACAGAATAAACAAAAATATGCGCTTTCTTATCAACTCAATAGGCTTTAATACATGGGAGGAACGATTCCATTCCCATCCCACCATGTTTGAAATTTCCCAAGATTCGATGGAGCTGCTTTCAAAGATTATTAAACCAGAACGAGGGGTTTGGCTGATCGGTAACAAGAAATGGCGGCGGAATTGCTGGGTGGAGCTGCTTTGGGCGCTGTGGTTGGGGAGCTGTTCAAAGCGGTCTTGGATTTGGGCGAAAGGGCCATCAATTTCAATCCTGTTCTTAAGGATATCAGTTCAAAGCTAAATGCTATAACCCCTTTGGTGAAGCAAATTGATGAGCTTAATGAGTACCTCGATATCTCAAGAGAAGAGACGGAGAGGTTGAGGGGTCTAATGGATGAAGGGAAGCGGCTGCTTCTCCAATGCGGCGATGTGAAATTGGGGAATCTTAATTATCTGAAGAAACCCTTTTACACACAAAAGCTTCGGGATTTGGATTCTGCACTCCGAAGCTTCATGGACGTTTTGTTGTTGCAGATGGCTAGAGACCAGAAGAAGAATCTGAAGATGATGAACCAAATGATGGAGATTATTTGCAGACTCGATAACAGAGGTGGGTCGAGCAAGGCTATGGATTTGATTGTGCCGCCATGTCTGGTTCCTCCGCTGCGAGAACAAACTGTTGGGTTGGAGAAGCCAGTTAAGGAGCTGAAGTTGAAGCTTCTCAAAAATGGGGCTCAAATGGTGGTGGTGACAGCTCCTGGAGGCTGTGGAAAAACCACACTGGCTTTGAAGTTTTGCCACGACAAAGAAATCAAAGGTACGCCAAAACCATTCTTTGTGAGGAAATGAACTTCAATTAAACAATTGGAGCTTTCTAATTTAGCGTCTTAATAGATATATTCCAGGGGAAGATCTTGTTTGTTGTAGTTTCAAGAAACCCAGATTGGAAGCTCATATTTAAGAACATAATTGAAAGCCTCAGAGGCATTCAATTGCCTGATTCACAAAATGATGAGCGTGCATTCTGCTATTTAGAATTGTGGCTGAAGCAAGCAGCTCAAAATCATCCTGTTTTGATTGTGTTAGACGATGTGTGGAACGGGCCAGAAGCTGAAGGCCTTCTTCACAAGCTTCTTCAATTGCCTCACTGCAAGATCTTGGTCACTTCTAGGTTTTCTTTCCCAAGATTTAGTGAGTCTTATTATTTGGAACCTTTGAGCCACGAGAATGCAATCAAACTTCTTCTCCTCGCAGCATCATTGGAGAAAGAAAGTTCTAAGCTCCCTGATGAAGAAACCATCAAAAAGGCATATTTCTGTAATCTGATACCTTTTACCTTTATATATCTATCATGTTATAGACAGCTGAGTTTGAATTTCAGATAATTGGGGGATGCAAGAGGCTCCCTCTTGCTCTGAAGGTAATCGGAACGTCGCTTTCCCGCAGACCGACGTCGGTTTGGAAGGTGACAGGGAGGAACATGTCTAGAAGTGGCTCAATATTTGATTCTGAGAAAGAGCTTCTTGAATGCCTACAGAGCAGCCTGGATGAGTTGGATGATAAGATGGTAATCAAGGAGAGTTTCATGGATTTAGGTTCTTTTCGCGAAAACCAGAGAATCTCTGCTTCAACCTTCATTGACATTTGCAGAGTTTTGTATGAACGAGATGAAACTGAAGCAATGGCCACCCTCGACGAACTATTCTCTCGGAGTTTAGTTAATTCTGTCACGACGAGGTTCGTGTTTTTCTCGGTTGTATTGATGTAAACAGAATAGATATTGATTCGTTTTGTGGGGTTGGTTGTTCATATCAGAGAATATGGATATGATGATGAGTTCTACGAACAGTACTGGTTCACACAGCATGATATTCTTAGAGATTTGGCTATCCACTTGATGAACTTGGAGCCCATAGAACAAAGAAAAAGATTGTTCTTGGATATCAATGGAAATGATGTTCCTGAATGGTGGGTACATCAAGAGAAGCATCCCTCCAATGCTCGCCTCATATCCATAACCACAGGTCTTTCCTTCTCTGTCTTTTCTTTTGTGTTCTTCACTTCCACTACTTCAAACTCAAAAGAACAGATTTTGACTGTTGCAGATGAGAGATTCTCATCAAGTTGGCCTGACATGGAAGCATCTAAAGTGGAGGTTCTGATTCTAAATATTCATTCAAGAACTTACAACTTGCCTGGATTCATGAACAGAATGACTAAATTGAAAGTTCTGATAATCTCAAATTTTGATTCTTTTCCAACTGAGATGACAAGTGAAGATAATGAACCACTCAACTGTTTACCAAGTCTCGAACGAACTCGGTTCGAACGGATTTCGGTTCCTCTCTTCAGTAATCCAAACCAGAAACCACTGATAAATCTGCAGAAAATATCGTTCTTTATGTGTAAATTTGGTGAAACCAAAATCTGGGATTTGATGCCAAACTTGGTGGAGATATCCGTTGACTTCTGCAAAGATTTGAGTGGAATCCCCAACGGGGTGTGTGAAATTGTGAGGTTACAGAAGCTGAGTATTACAAATTGTCATGGACTATGTTCCTTGCCAGAAGACATAGGAAAGCTGATTAATCTAAGAACACTGAGGCTTAGATCCTGCATTCATTTGGAAGAGTTGCCTGAATCGACGACAAAGCTTCGGGGATTAGTCGTGCTTGATATATCGAACTGTGTCGGTGTAGCCAAGCTTCCTGAGAAGATTGGTGAGTTGCATGAATTAGAAAAGGTTGACATGAGGAACTGCTCAAGCTTGCGCAAGCTTCCATTGTCAATCAAACATCTGAAAAAGTTGAAGCTGTTATGTGATGGAGAGATTGCAGAGCGGTTGAAAACGGTTGCTCCCCACCTTGCCAAACAGGTCAAAGTGCACCAGGAACAAGCCAACCTCGAGTGGCTGGGTTTATGAACCATTCTTTCATTTCTTTATTTATTTATTTTTGTAAGAATATTCGCTAAAAAGTTTATATTAATGAGAATACCGTACATATTTTATTATATATATATATATATATATATAATAATCCAATAAAAATAATTAAATTAAATGAACTTACTCAACAAATATGAATGGTTGCAAGAAGAAAAACGAATAAAAAGATCCCTTTTATTTCTCTGCCGTAGAAATCTAGAGTGGGAAACACGTAGATTTATCATAAATGAAAAGGAGAGAATAAAATGTGTAATTTTTTTAAAATGTTTATTTATTTATTTATTTTTACTTTTTCTAAAAATGAAATATTAAAAGATAGGGGAGACAGTGGGCACTAAAAAATGTAAGAAAATATAGAAGTGATTGTGGCGAAACGTTCATGTCTTGTAGCTTTAAATTTTTATTTTTGTATTTATGATATAATATATTCTAAAAAATAGTAACAACTATTCTTTTTTAGAAATTTAAAAATTATATTTTTATTATTTAATATTCAACAAAAGGTATATCTAATTTTATTTTTAAGATGAATAATATAAATGTCATAAATGAGTACATTTCCCATTTTGGAAACAAAAAGCTTGTTTCTTAGTCAGTAGGATCTTCTCCCCCACCCTTTCCTATTTTATTTTCTTTTTAAATTAAATCAACAAAATTAGTAGCCCTATAAATTTGCGAGGTCAAGTCGAAAGAAAAATACAAAAGAACAATATTTACTAGCAAAAATGTTTAATCTGTATACGTTTGTTTGTCGTAAAGATTTAGAAGTGCATGAATGGATGATGGGGTCGATTGATTGAGCAGTAACAGGCATTGAGGAATAACAAAAGGGCGACCATGAATGGTAGCAACTAGTTTGAAGTGTAGTATCAGGAACTCAAATTTGGGGTAAACAGAGCATAATGGCCTTCAAAAGCTGTAACACCACACCCATTGCTTCTTCAGAATCTGTGTGTTCTTCCCATCATCATCTTCAGATGCGTGAAGGCGACAGCGACACCACTCCATTATGCCTTACGTGCTTCTCTGTGTGATTCTCAAGCTCTACAGCTTCCTCCTACTTTTTTTTTTTTTTTTTTTTTTCATAT